TGGACGCTATATGACCGCGCAGTCGAAACGCCGTAAACCCCCAATTACTACTACTACTTCTTAGCCCCGTAAGCTGTTAAGGGCATGCGCGATGAATATTATATACAGAGGTGAGACGTAGCAACAGCCTTATTCCTCAGAGAAAAATGTAGGAGGGTGATGTATTTCCGCTTCTGCTTTTCGTTTCGCTAAAAGCATGATACCAAACTCTCAAGGCATCGATACCTCCATTCTCCGGTTTGTTCTCGGAGGAATAAGGCTATTACTACCGTCTAAATCCTTCGTTCGTTTACGAAGTGCACCACACTTCCCACATGACAAAAACCTAAAGGTTTGTGCTTGGCAAACTGATTTGCGCAGAAGCTCATTTTTCCTCGGCGCCCAAACGACTTTCGTCTCACGAAAGCCCCGGTTTCCGTAGACGTGACCCCGCGAGCTAATCCATCACGGCTTGCATGAGCTGCTGGTGCATGCGACAAGCTTACGTAATTTCCCGTGCATAGCTTAGCCCTTGACTTTTTACTATCGCTTATTTTGGATCTAAGAAGTCAGCATGGTGTGCGTCGACTTTTGAAGGCGTCTTCACTGAGGCGCTGCTTATTTTAAATGCCATTTAATGCATTTCTCCTTTGGGAAGTTGTCCGGTACCTTCAATTCACCGTGTACTGGTGGTATGGCTGGTCGGCGGTATATTCTCCAGGATTTATTATTCAACTTTCTCACAATTCGTTTCCTGTGCAGGCCATCATACTACAGGCGCCATGTGTACGACAAAGCTCTAGGTAGCTCAGCCAATGGAAAGATCAATGGCAAATTCCCTAACGCGGACAATAATTACAATGATATTTGACGTGCAGCATGTAGCACCACACTCACGCGCACACCTGCACACGTCTGCACACCCCGGCTCGGTTGACCCTCGCACTGGCACCACCCTACAAATGATCAAAACGGCACGCGGCCCGGGCTGGGGCCGGCTGGCGCACGCCACAGTCGCGTGCTCCACCTGCGGCGGCGTGCTCGGTGCCGGCCGGTCCGGCGCGCCGCCGCTAGGAATGTGGCGGCGGACGACGCAGCTCGCTTCAGAGCAGCATCACATGGAATATAGGCGGGGGCGGGGTGGTCGCGCGGCCACCCATTACGCCTTGATGTAGAGGAAGATGGCCACGATGAGGCCGTACAGGCCGAGCACCTCGGCGAAAATGAGGATGAGGATCATGCCGACGAAGAGGCGCGGCTGCTGCGCCGTGCCGCGCACGCCCGCGTCGCCCACGATGCCGATGGCGAAGCCGGCCGCCAGCCCGCTCAGACCGACCGACAGGCCGGCGCCAAAGTGCACGAACCCGCTGTGGAGGGGACGTGGTCATCTCATCTGCAGTGTCAAGGGAGCCAGCCAGCTTCCGACTGGACACAGTCGCGCTGCGTCACGTGACACGCCTGCGCCACATGACACTCCTGCATCACGGGACACTTCTGCGCCACGTGACACTGCTGCGCCACGTGACACTCCTGCATCACGTTAAACGGCTCGAACATTCATGAGCTGGTGTCAACAATGACTCTAAAAGGACAGCATTTGTTGAGACCTTGAACATAATACAACATCGCTGAGACCTTGAACACAGTGAAGTGGCATTAATGCTTCATGCCCCAAGGAGGACTCACTGAATCTCCGACATTTTGCGTGTATCAGTGTCATCCATCCTTCTCGGAATGTCTCACAGTCCACAGCCCCTTTGAGCACATGTTGGCCAACCAGTGCACGGGTACCGGGACGCAGAACTCACGAGAAGAGCTCGTAGGTGGCTGGCTTGGTAATGCCACCAGCGATAAGCACGGCCACCACCAGACCATAGATGGCGAGGATACCAGCCATCACCACGGGGATGATGGACTTCATGATGAGCTCGGGCCGCATCACCGACATGGCCGCGATGCCGGTGCCCGACTTGGCTGTGCCATATGCGGCGCCCATCGCTGCGAAAAACCCACATCAGGGTCAGCAGTGACTGGCAGCACACATCGTAAAACTCTGTCACCTGATACTGGGCTGGCACAGACAGTCATGGATCCCTCAGACAATCAGGGGCACCTAGCACGGTTTGTATGCTGTGTGCAGGACTTCACATCATTGACAGAACACAAGAGCAAAGTTCGGGGGGCGCAGTCATCCCTCACAGGGTGTGGGGAGGGGATCATTTTTATGCCACATAACAACATTTTCTCTTGTATTTGCTTTTTAGACCTGTCCAGGGGATAAAATCCCTGAACCTATTAGCACTTTCAATTGCTGCAGGAAAGGAGAGACAAACAGAGGAGCTGCTCAAAGTTCCAAAACAATGTTCTCACTTCACCCACAGTCTTGTGTAGTCTACCATATTCTATTTTCCTCATTGATCATGACTAGTGATTGTAACTTGAACATGAACTCATGAACAACAGTTATATATATATATATATATATATATATATATATATATATATATATATATATATATATATGTGTGTGTGTGTGTGTGTCATGGGGCCTCTTAACATTTTGCCATTCTTGTTTAGATGCCAACTGGCCTGTGAGATATCATAACTGCCACAGAGCGGCATCCCTCAGCATTATATGATACAGGAAATATTCTCTCATGCTGTCTCAACACTTGCTGTTGAAATGGAACTGCCCTGATATGGTGCTAGATATCATGGTCTTCACATCCTGTCTGCATATCACTTATTACAATGTCTTATCTCAGAACCATCCATAAAAATGATCATTTTTCAATTGTTTCACAGAATAACTTAAGATGGCCTTCTCTCAGAACAGATGGTCCACAGGCTCTGCCAAATGACTGCTAAAAAATATTTCAGCACTCATCTTGAATGTTAAGAGACCCAGAACAGCAGCCTGACATGCTGCTATGCTTTATTCAGTTAATTATGCAGTCAAGGAACCAAACTTCATCAGATTTTGCACTAATGATATACCACTAACCCCCAGCTCACAAAGCATGACAGGGCTGTCAGAAAGATGCTTGATATATCAAAATGATGTCCCTAATATGTGGGCCTTCCACTCTTAATTACATCAACATTTCAGGATAACTTACAATAGATCACACCCCCATCACAGTTAAGCCATACAGCACATAACAGAATCACTGCCCAACATTTTAAGCTTGTCCCAACTAGCATTATTTCTGTGATGCCCATTCTAACATGATCTTGAGGAATGCCATCATAATAAGCAGCCAAAGACCTTCACATCTAGGTGCCAGCTTTGGTTCCTCAAAATGTGCAAGCTCCTTGTCAAATCACACAGCTGAGAACTGTTCACCCTGATCCCTAGCTTAGTAGGTTACAACATCAATCAGGTGACACCGCAGGGGAGGGAAGACTGCTCAATTAGATTGGACAAACATTAAGGCATGGCAAAACAAGAAGCAAGATGAGTCAAGGTGAGCCTGAGGAAATGCAAATTCCTATTTCAGAGCTTTATTGAGGGCCACATCTGGCCAAGCCAGACGATCCACATTGCCTAGGCACCTTACCCTGTTATCCAATGTGACTGCAATCCATGCAAACATTCCCTAATTCACACAAAGCAATTCACAGACATTGGCCAATTATACCACAAACTCTGCACAATGTCTTCAACTGAAAGGAAAGATCCAAGCACCACTTCTCCGGCCACAGGCTAACGGCAGGGACGAACAATAGGCAAGTTCACATACGGCGGTCCTTACCACTGAACACCATGGCTGAAGCAGCTCCCATGACGCCGAAAAAGGGGCCATAGATTGGTCTTTCGTCAGTCGACATGTTGTAGGTCTTGGAAATACTTTATGTGACGTGTCTTTAACGACCCAACCTACAGGCAGCCAGCACGGGGCACGACACAGCCACTTCCCAGCCGGTGCTGTCGGGAGATGGCCGAGTCTTGTGACACTCAATAGTCGGCGACGGGATGTATTTGTTCTAGCGGTTTTGATTCGTCAACGGCCCAAGTTTCGTCCTCCATAAACCAATCAGAGACCCTGTCACTCAGCACCGTGCCGATGACGTCCTCTGACGTCACAAAACTTGACTAGGAAAGTGGGATTTACTACGGTAAAGAGGACTAACGTTAGCTAGTTTATGCGATTGCATAAGGGAAGCCACCCTAATTAGGCCTATGTTTAGCATGCCGTCTTGGGTTTAGCCTTGTTCCCTGTTTTCTCCCAACAGCTTTCGTCAAACTTCACCGACGTACCCAGAAAAAAACTGCGAAGAAGTAGCGAAAGCAAACGCTACGAAACTTTTTTTCTGAATCGATTTTTTTCAGCTGTTGAAGCTAGTTTTGAAGTCCAGAAACCTTATTTAGGTCAATTTGTGATACAACCGGCTTTCCGACAGTTTCCAGTAAGGCCTAAACTTGCGCGGTTCACCCAAATTTGCGCGGTCCGGCCCGATGCTGATGAAGTCGTCCAAGAGATTGGAGGCAGCGTGACCGGCAAGAAGGGTCATATCTTCCCTTCCCAGATGCCTCGTGACCACACCTGACAACAGTGTCGACTCCCGTTCCGCCAAGGTCTGCCCCCTCCCTCCAAAAACCAACTGGAACCTGCAGCTTATTTGAAACACCACCGAGCTGTGGTGGCGCCCCGCCACCGAACCTAATCAGTGCGCGTTTTGTATAAATCACGCGCGAGGCAGTCCGCCTCATCAACCATAATCTCCAGATCGCGTTCAGACGGATTAAATCGCTTGTGTTGCAAGTATTGATGTTCATGTGATTGCACGGGACATAAGTCCCAATATTTAGATCATAGTATGTCAATCTCCGACCAGATACTCAAAAAATATTGATCTGTAAGACGAAATCAAACAACCATCACCAATTGGATGCGTATTTATGAACGACTACGGATCAACACTACATTCACCACCCTATGCTCATGTAATAACAGACTGCGTGCGGGACTTCTTCGCATCACGTTATCTTCGCGTTCACAGAAAGCGCAGAACAAACACTAGTACTGAAGACGTATACCATGTGGGACATGCTATGAGGACGTCACTTAAACCAGCTGGAATGGGTGATGTGCAAACCATGCAGCATCAGGCGAATGTCACAGTTCCCACTTTATAGCTAAGATTGTATCATAAATTAATCGTCTATACCAAGTCATGCAAATTACAAAGGATACAAACCATCAACAAAATCAGGCGCATCCAACAGAATGAACTTATCCCTCAAAGCGAGAGAACATGAAATGATGATCATTCACTCAGCCTCACTGCAAAACGCGTCTAAAAACCAAAGACACGTGAGCAGGGTGACTTAGGGAATCGTAAGGTCACCTATCAGGTCAGTCACACGCAAACACACTCGTAACAAAGCCACGCGCCCCACACAAGCATCACTAAAATAGAGCCATCGCCGAGGCACGCCGGTCATCAAAATCACTACCCCTCATAAAACACCGCGACCGGGCCAGGCGCCGGGAAAACCAGGTTGCGCATCACCCCCGGGCGCCGGGCGCCAGGCGCGATGCCGACCACGCCGAGAGCTCCACCAATCGCCACAGCGCACGCCGCGACCGCCGGCCGCGTGACCAGCGCGGCCGAGCGCCCTCACGCCTGGGCGGCCAGCTGCGCCAGGCTCTGGGCGAAGTTGTGCAGCACGCGGTGCCAGAGCGCCGGGTCGTGCAGGTACGCCGGGTGCCCGCCGCCAGGGATCACCGCCACCGTCGACGTCGGGATGGCCGAGAGCGCGCGCTGCGACGCGGCGCCCAGGCCGCGGTCTTCTGAGCCGTACACGATGGCGGTCGGCACCTGCCGGCACGGGGTGGCGTCAGGCGGCCGGCGGGTTACATGCGGCGGCGTCAGGCGGCTGGCGGACCGCACGCGGCAGCGGACCCTACCCGGGCATAGCCGACATCGACACACACGGACGGTCAGTGACTCGACGACGAATGGCACGCACCGACACGTTGCAGCCACCGTGCGTGAGGGCTATGGCTAAAGGCCGATTTTTTGCAAGCTAATCGAATGCCCACACATCTGTTAACGCAAACGATTTTTTTCTCAGCAGTTTGGCGAGCAACTTTTGCAGGTGTAGTGATAAGGATCGTTCCACTTTTGTATGGGGTTTGAAATGAGACAGACATTTTCTCAAATCCTTCCATGCAGTTCACAGCCATGCTCTTTTTAACGCTTCAAATCCTCTCGTTTCTAAGCTAGGCGCATGCGAACTTGTACATATTTTTCGCGACACCTAGTTTAAAAGCACCCAGAGATGCATGACGTCGAAAAAACGTCACAAGAATTCCGCCTCCTCGAAGGCCATATTGTGTTCAAGGTCAACAAACGCAAGGCCAATGATCTTTCCGTGCCTGAATTGCGGCAGCACGCATTGTCGCATCAACGGACACCAGTTAGCTTTCAACAAGCCTAACCCGTTAAATGCAAATCTCGAAAAGCGTTTTGTGACTTGTGTGCATAACACAGACTTTTGGGCAGATCTACTAATCGTAACAGACATGAGACTGGGAATCGAATAGCTTAAGAAAAGCGCCCGACAGAAGAATGCAAATGCAAGTAAAAAACACGCTATCACGGAAAAATATAAAAGAACACCACGAGAAAGGGCCAAAACACGCGTACATCACGATGGTCGTTTTTTGCTCATAATTCACGAAACACCTTGCGGCGAATTAAAGTACTATAAGTAGGTCAGCCAACGCCAAAATTCGCAATTCTGACAGGGCTAGTCTGACAGCGACTCTGACGCCACAAAATTGTGCCATGGCTTAATCAAACGATGACGTTTCGAGGGTCATATTAACTGACTAGTAACATTGCTTTATCTAGAACGGTCTTTTGCAGTGAAAGGCGTACCAATAGTCACAAGTGAGCTTGTTCTGTCTCATCTCATGCCTGCCACAATATCTTCAAATGTGAATGATTACTTTGACAGTTAGACAACCACAACAGGCACTGGAACTTATGGAGTCATGGTGCACACCCGACCCAGACAGATTACAGTACCGGAAGTAAAAATACCCACTCGCCGGTTTCCGTCCCAACTGACGGAGTATTGCACCACGATGCACTTGGAAATCGAGCTGTCGTCCAGGCCACACGACGATAAGGCTCCACCACCCATTCCAAAGGTCCCACCCCAACAGCCACTACGGGTGCCAACCGTGGGGGTGGAAACAGTGTAGTGGTTAACGCGTCTGCGTTCACCATTGCGTGTCTGGGAAACCAGGGATTCGATTCACCGCAGTGCCCCCGCCCCCCCCCCCCCCCTTCCTGCCACGGTGAGAGACAGGCGACGCCATACAGTCTCAGCAGCTGAGAGCGTCATAAAGCCCTTATGACGACGACGGCGCCCGCCGCGGCCGCACGACGGCGCCACCGTCGCGGCCGGCGGGTGACGGCCGACCCGCAGACGGTCCGCCGCGTACCCGGATGGCGCGCAGCTGCTCAGCTGAAAGCTTCTCGGTGCCGACCGGCGCCACGGGCACGAAGCCGGCCAGCCAGCCGGGCTGCTCGGCCAGCAGCGGCAGCGAGAACTCGCCCGAGAGCGAGGGCGACACGAGCACCGTGCGCCCGCTCAGGCCCAGCGCGCTGCGCACGGCCGCCAGGAAGCCGGCGCGGCTGGCGTCGGCCGGCAGGCTGCCGCGCGACCGCGATTTGGAGAAGCCTGACGGCGAGAAGGGCAGCGTGACACGCGGCGGCGCGTGATATGGAGGGCAGCGGTGAGGCGGCGGACACACGCAGCAACGACTCACGCACTGCAGAGTGCACAGCGTGAGGCTCGTCCGGACGGGTGGGATCGGGGTGGATGGGCGAGTGGTGAAACACCTCGCAATCCGCCATGGCCGGCACTACCACACAGGATCTGGCGCGGTTGCCCTCACATTATGGAGAATGATTAAACAATGATATTATCGCATTGTGTGATCGAGACGCATTTGCGAGACGTTTCTGTCCCTCTTCCACATTTGCGGTGAGTTTCCGCACCCCTGTATAGACGTGAGCACGGTTCAGCCACGTGGCAGCACATGCTGGGACCACAAGACAGCACAGCAACGACACTAAGGGACAACAACGACGAACACAACAAGGCAACAATAAGTGAATGCAAGACACATCCTTTCGGATACTTGTGCTGGACATGGCAGTGAGTAATGCAGTCACAGCGGCACCGCACGTCCCGACCGGGCCTGCGCATGCGCCGTACCGGCGCCAGGCAGGTCGATGGCCACGGCCGTGTAGCCGAGCGCGGCCAGCGTGCGCAGCGTCTTCATCTCCTGCCACGTGGCCGACGAGAAGCGGGAGCCGTGCAGCAGCAGGAATGTCAAGCCGTCCGCCGGCGGCGCCTCGGGCAGTGCCACCGCGTAGTGCACGTCCACACCCTGCAGGAGGGAGAGGTCAGACGAGGCCCATCAGTCACCGGCATGGGCCTCGACGGGGGCGTGCGGTCGGAGCTGCAGCGAGAGTGAGACCCAGCGCCGTGATCGGCCGCTTGTTGGCGGATGAGCCCTTCCGTGGTCCTCCGAAACCGTTTCTCTTGACAATCCTCATCCTGCTACCAGACAGATAAGGAGATATGGGCAACAGTTTCGTGCCCAGAACGCGCACAACTCAATCAGATCAGGTAGATATCAATGCTCGCGATGTTCTTCTCCGCGCTGCTGTTTAAACGCGCAGTGCTTTGCTGCATGTACATCACTTGGTACAAAATCTCCAAATTTCATAGGGTAGAGGAAGTCACGAAACATTAAAATTGGTTAACAAGCACTCACCTGAACCGAGACTTCTCCGGTTTTCACCGTAATCTCGTCCACACTGAGGCTGGGCAGCTGGCCAACAGTGAGGTCGATGGCAGCGCTCCTAGCGGCGCCAGCCCGAGACTCAACGCGTCCCGACGACGCCACGCCGTCATTCACGCCAGCCATGATGATGGGCGACTTTTTCCCGGCAGCCAGAAGGCGCTCATATAAGCTGTTGCCCTTGATGATCGTGCGTGGCGGAAACGAGAACTGCGCCTGTGGAATGGTACTGCTTAGATGAAAATGCCACACTTAGATAGCTGCATCACCTAAAGTGCATTACCGAGCGAGTTTTGCATGAACTGAACATTACTTTTTCAAACTCAGGGGCGTGGCTTGGTTCGGCCGCCGCGCTTTGTGGAAGCTTATGGCTTTGCAGCCACTGATCACAGGTTCATACGGTTTCCAGCGAAAACAAGTGCCGTTTTTTGAAAGGTTGTGCGGGATATATTGTTGACCATTTGTGCATGAGTTGTCTCATCAGTGAAGTTTTCCCTGCAACAATGCAAAATTATTATTTCACCTTCCCATTCCTTAACACCTTGACCTACTTGTTACAAATCCTGAAGAACACAGGTCAAAACCGCACCCGGATTTTGACAACGCGGCGTCGCAGCGACGAAAGATTGACAGATTCTCTTGCAAGGAAATCATAATGACAGAAGTGTAAGTGAGTAAGTAAGTAAGTAAGTAAGTGTGAATAGGTATACAGATAGATGGCCACATGCTGCCATGGGAAAAGCATGGATCTGCCCAGCTTACTATGTTTTTAAGTGGCTCATGTCAGATCTCAGCAAATGGAGCAGATCACAACATGAAAGCCTGGGTACTGTGACTTCAAAATGGAATGAAACTAACCACATAATGAGTGTGAACATACACTTGGGCTCAGTAACCAGCCTTGCAATTATTATGTGGGTCTGCCATGGACTGGAAATGACAAGCATCACCACTTATGAAATGGACCTTGACAACATGGCCTCTGCTGTCGAGGGATACATGACCATGGAAATTCTATGGGTATGTAGTGCCGGCCACTGTGCATGTTACCATCAGAAAAATATCCACAGTTTTACAAACAGGTGCATAGTATCCATTCCAAAAGTCATTACAATCTTAGCAATTTCATTGTTCCTATTCCCAGATATGCCTACCTTAAACCTTTACTGCAAAATGTTATGCTATTATTGAACTGCTGGTCTCACACTGGAAAACTTAACATGCTGGCATTAACTAGGAGGAAAGTACCACATAGTAATGGTGATAGCATAAGAATGTCAGCCTTGTAAGAAAAACAGCTTAGTAGAGGATCAGCTGTAGCTCATTGATCACAGTCTTAATGTAGACCTGAATAATAAAGATGATTCAAATTGACAATTGTACCTGCAGTATAATTATGCTGTATCATAACTACACAAGAGTCATCCACTTTCTGATGTACATCAGAAGAGCATAAAACACCAGTGAAAGTAGAATGTGAGTCACCACAGTACTTGGGGAGATCACTCCTAGGATCTAAATGTCCAGAACTCCACTTAACCTATGATGTCATGGTCCCATGTAAAATTGGTGCATGTTATCAGCCAATCAGGTACATTCTATATAGCTGATAGTGAGTCATCATCTGTCTGTCAGAAAAATGCATGAGCCAAACTACTGAAAGTGAAGTATATCATTTTTAAGTATGTTTATTTAAGTACACTATTTTAACTACCAAAATATACCTATGACACATTCACAATGCATACTAGGCTTTCTCAAGCTGCTTGAGTCAGGTACACCCAGCATCTGAGAAGATAGCAGGTAATGTTATTGCTGTTATCTTACTGACTTGCCAATGTTAATGTTTTACTCAACTTCATATTTCAGCATATGCATAAGCAGCTATGCATATATCATATTCAGCACATCTATAGGATGCCACAAATGCATGCACACACATGCATCTAAAGATATATAGCTATTTATACCTAAAAATTGCTGGAATCCCATGACTCTTTACTTCGTGGTTGCCCTACTTAATGGTTAATTCATTTCAAAGCTACATTGATCTATGCCTCTGCAAGCCACATACACCAACTCAATGTTCATATGCAAGCCATATTTATTCTTAGACCCAATGAACTGACAGGAGTTCTGAAGGATCCAAAGAGAAACACACACTAAATGGGGAAGGGCTTAATATTTTCTGTAAAGGCACTTATCCTGGCTGCACAACACAGATTGGTTCTCAAGTAACGCATTGGAGTGCAGGATCAGGATGCAGGTAAGTTTTCAGTTGCATTGCATTACGTGATAACCCCACCAATCCCGGTAAACACTATTAACGCCTACCCTCCCGCGTGCCCGGGGTATATCTTTGAATGAACCCAAACAGAGCATTGGCTCCGGTGCATTGTAAATGTCTTTTGCGCGCCAATATGACCGCGGTGAGAATATACCATATGGGGTGGATTGTTTCCAAATTCTTTTATGCAGCATATTGGTTTCGAAAAACGCCGACTCTGAACTAATGCGGTTCCCTTTCGGGGAGAACAAAGGGGAGCAGTAGTGCCTCCCTAATTTGCAAAAAGGAGGAATTTTGTAGATGTAAGACTTTCTCATCATGCTTCTCTACATCGGGAAATCACGCACTTTTACTACACGACGAGCACTTCGGGCCAGCCCTCAAAATAGTGTTCCGGTCCCTCCTGGTCCCGGCCAGGGATGGTGATACCGTGAGGGACGTAGGGACACGTCCGCTGTAACTTTCAAGACTTGGGCGCCCTCCGCACAATATCCGAGACCCGCAAAAGTTGAACGCTTGTGCGCGAGTTCCGGTGAAGTTAATAAAATCACAACATCTCACACAAAACGTGACATGCCCTTCTTATTTGACGCAGCTCTTCAGGGATATTTTCTAGAGGGGGAGGAGAGTAAGGAGCACCGGGGGCACTTGCTCCTATGAAATATTACCAAGTAAAAATATCCACGTAGCAATGTTGACGATTAAAAATCGAGATAGACATGCAAGAATAAGTGGATTAAAAACATGGCACGCCATTATATCATCGTGGAATAAATATCGCGCGGAGGTATTTTAATGATAACTTACTTAAGCCTTCCCGCCAATATGAAATCCTTTATCTTCTCTAACGACTTTTACAGCGTCGGAGGCGTCACGAACCAAACTCAAAGCATGCGAATCCTCTTAATAGGTAGGCCCACGCAAACGCTGCAATCGGAAACTCGGAAACTGCAATAGAAAACTGCAGTTGCCAGGGAGCGTGTGTTATCTCAGCCCACTCCTCTGCTCCGGACAGCTTTCATCAGCACGGTCGCTTTGGCTGACTATTGACGTCTCGAACAGCAAGGGCGTACTCAGCACGTCAACTGAGCGCGTCCACGGCTGTGAGTCAGCACCGATAGTGGAGCACCGATACGGCTGGTCAGCGTCTGACTTTATAAAAAAAAACGAACCGACGCACTTTCGATTCACATCGTTCTAAAAAACAACGGAACGCAAACATCATAGGCCATCGACACATCATAGTTATCATCGGCTTTAGAGCCGAAAGATCAAGTGAAATATAGATTCAGTTTCGGCGCGTATGCTAGTACGTCACAAGCTAAAATACAATAATTTTGCTCTGTGAAACTAAGACCAGATCATGACGTCATTTGTTTTCTTCCGCTGGTCTGATTGACGGGCCGGCTACGTGCGACACGCAGGCTGACATGCCGAGCGGCAGTAGCTCGCGCCCGCACGGGCTAGGACTGCGTACCTATTCGACAGTGTGCTCTGCACTTCGACTTTCCCTCCACGCGCTTTTAACGGATGTTCTTCGGAGATGACCTCTTTTCGGGGATCATGACCATCCATCCATCCCCAAATTTTGCGCTGGGTCAACCATTCGCAATTACGAGAAAGTCCACCCTTTGTTTTATTCTCTATCTGTTCTATTATAATGTTCTATCTATCTGTCCTATATCTATCTGTTCTATATGCTCTATTTATGCTCTGTCTGTACCTTGAAATAATCATATATGAATAATTTGCAAACAATTAATTGAGCTGACATCTGTATGCGTTTGTAATGATTTAAACCAGTGATTTGTTGCACTGTTTTTCAGCAAAAAGCTGGTGCGCTTTAAGATGAAACGATGCAGAAACGTACCAAATCTCATAAATGTGAATATAAATGCTTCTTTGCAAATACCCTACCTGCGAGGCCATATATATATATATATATATATATATATATATATATATATATATATATATATATATATCTAGGATTTACATTTGCGTGTTCATATATCATATTCCCTGTACGATTTAGGCCTTTTTAATCATAGCCACGCATCGCCTTATGTTGCGTAAGCGGCTAGTCGAGAACATAGGAGCCCGCGGGGCGAGCGCCAGAAAATACTCGATATTTTTCCTTTCGAAGATTCAGACGGACCACATATAGGTAAACTGACATGCATGACCAATTGAAGTTGCCAGTTAACGACAGTAGGTTACATAAAGGAAGCTGATGTCGATCAATTTTTTAAGTGTGTGTTTGGACCTACTGGACCTACCATCCCAGACAGGAACCCCTCTGAAACTTATATACCTACCACCGATTCAAATCCAGCGATGCTCGAGCCTATTCATCACTGAAACCCGATTTCACAGATTATCTTACTTCATATGACTCCATCGCTTGAATCTGGGTAATCACGCTTCATGGCGATAATGCTAGCAACTAGGTTGAGCTCTTGGAATCATTTTAATGATCTTTCCTTCTTGTTTTCCATCGTAGCCGGATGTGCACCCGCCGATGAAGACGTATGATCGCCTTATGTGGTAGCACGCCTATCAATACAGAACATCTCACCAGTATAAAGACACGTATATTCGCACAGCCAGCTAAAAATCATGGCGGTTGTGGAGACACCTGATCCCCGTCCCCTCAACCAAAATTGTGCGCCGCCGCCCACGGTCTCAGCTGATCAAAAGTCACTGGAATTCGGACTCGGTCGACCCCATTGGTGGCGCAGATCATGCGTAAAGCCCCGCGGCGGTCCAGAGGCCTCGAAATAATCAGATGCCCTCGTTAGCCTTTCGTACCGGCGCCCTTGGCCTTATCAGCCAGGCACCCGGCAGACATTTCGAGGCTCATAATTGTCTCAGGCTTCAAACTTCCCTCAGGGCCTAAACACGCATGGTTGGCCTATTGTTACGTCCG